GGGATATCCATACCCTCAAGCATGTATCTTTTGTGTTACAAAAAAATCCAGCCACATCAGCTGTAGTGACGTGACAGTCATGTATTTTGTAATACAGCATTTTCTAGTATTAAGTCTGTGGAGTGTATATATGTGGAATGCTTGATTTAAGCATTGGGATTAGGTGGGGGAAGGAAGGAGCAAAGGTGTTGATAATCAGGCTTCATCCACGGTATTTTGGCAAGCCCAAAGAGAGACCTGCCATTGGCTTCCTTGTTCCACCAGACAGAGTATTTAATATTCTCTTGTCACATTCAGGCTTTGTAGTCCTTCTTTTCAGCAAATTATAGCAAGTGCCTTTAAGCTTTAAACAGGAGCAGGTGGAAGAGGTAAAATAACTAATTCACTGTTTCTCTCTTTACTTTCACATTTGTATGTTTTGTGCTACAGTCCTGAAGTGTCTTTGCTCCTTCCTTTTACCACACCTTTATCTGTCTTCCCAAAGTCTTATAAGCCCCATCATGTGCTTCTTCTACCTGTGCTGCTTCTGGTGAGTTTGGAGACGCTAGGAAAGTACAAGTACATATCTTAGAACTATAAAGCAGCCTCTAGTTGTCCACAGACATTAGTCACATGGCATTTTATAGCTCCCTTCTGGAGTTCCTTGAATTAGAAATTCAGCCTTTATTGATCACTGTGGTTTGCCTAATGTTCTACTCATGACTGTACATACGAAGAAAAATAGTCTTAGCTTAATGAGCTCAGCATCTAGTGGGGGTGGTGGCAAGAGGTCAACAATTACGACATGTGAAGGAAGGAGGAATCACAAGAATACCCAAGAGGGCCACAGACTGGGGACCCCATGGGACACGGGACTGCAGCACCAGATGAGGATGCTGGATGAAGGTTTTCCTAGGGAAGATGGTGTCTGAGCCAAGTCCTGAATAGGAAGCGTGTTGCTGTTTGAATCTGGGGTGACGGGGTATGTGGTGGTATGTGTTCCAGGTAACAGGCAGCATGAACAAAGGCTGAAAGTCTTGATCTTTTTAGGAACAGCAAATCCCAGAACTTACCTTCTGTGTATATGATTATTACGGCTTTGCCAAAGAAAGTCCCTGAGAGAAAAAATCTGTGCATGCGCGTGTGTGTGTGTGCGCGCGCGCGTGCGTGTGTTGCAGCCACATTTAACAAGCACTTAATAGAAAAGATGAGTGTAAAATGAGGTTTTGTATAAAGCACAATCTTAAAGATTTCAGGTAAAATGTGTTAACATGAAATGCAAGAAATCATTCTGTTGTGATAAAGTTGGGATTAAGTTCATTGTGATAACATGAAACTTATTGTTATGATAGCAAAGGGATTTATTACTATTTAACTAGAGTTGTTTAATTCTGCAGAACTTAGGCCCAGGATTTTATTCAGATGTCTGAAGAATCAAAGAGATCACCATGAAGCAAGCAATAGAAAGTACTAGAGTGTTTAGTCACTGGAAAATGGTGAATTATCCTATGTATTGCTCAAGGCCTGTAAGTGCTGCAGGAGAAGTCAGGAGCCTCAGGACTAGTCAAAGTTGTTTATTTGTTTGTGACCAGGTCTCTCTGTTGTACAAGCTGGAGTGCAGTGGCATGATCATAGCTTATTACAATCTTGAATTCCTGGGCCCAAGCAATCCTCCTACCTTGGCCTCCTGAGTAGCTGGAGGTACAGGCACACATTGCCACACCTGGCTAACTTTTAAAATTTTTGTAGAAATGGGGTCTTGCTATGTTGCCTGGGGTGGTCTAGAACTGCTGGCCTCAAGTGATTCTCCCACCTCAGCCTCCCAAAGTGCTAGGATAAGAGCATTTTAAATGCTATGCTTTGTATCTATGCCTCTGCCTTTTCTGACAACTCTTCATGGGGAAGGAAAGAAACACAATATAAACATGAAGGAGATATGAGTAACTCTGGATATTTGCACATAGATTCAACCCATCCTAGTTTATTGCAGTTTCAGAGCATTTCATTTGATTCCTACAATGTTCAAGTAAGGAGGATAAGGTAAAAGGTAAGAGAGAACTTTGGCGCAAAGAATTTAAGGAACCAAAAAAACTGTTAAATGGCAGAATTAAGACTACAAACCTGGTCTTTGGACTCCTAATAGAGTGCTTTTCACTGGTACAACATAATGCATTCCTTTATTAGGATTTATTTTTAAATGCTAAAAACTCAACACTTGTTCCTCCTTTGTGAGTCACTAATATATGCAGCTGCCATAGCACACTGTAGGGCTCAGCCCAGCATGGTTAGAATAGACTGCTGATGTGGGAGCTAGTCATATTTTGGTTTCATAGCTAACCTTTTATTGAATATTGAAATTGTGACATTTTAAAATCTTTCTGCATCTCATTTTCTTTTTCCTGGATCTGTGTTATGTCTTGGCACTATAAATGTGAATGGAATCATCTAGCTCCATTGTACTAACTGCAGGAATACATTTAATGCCAGTTTCTTAGGCGAGCCATATGGTTTGCCCCCATATTTGTATTGTGTTTTCACTAGTTTTGTATGTCTCAGGAATTGTATTTAGGCCATTTTCTACATAATCCTGTGTCAGACTTCTTATAGGAACTTAATTTCCTGGCAGGTTAGAGAAATGCTAATTATGGATTGTATAAAAACAATACCAGCTAACATCCATTGAGCACTAAGTGCTGGACCCTTGCATTTCATTTAGGCCTTACACAAATCTTGTGAGGTAGGGTGGATGGGGAAGCATGGGCATGTGGCCCTTACAGAGACAGTGTAGGGGATGGCCAGGTTTTACACACAGGTCCTTTGGCTCTGGTCCCACATTTAACCAGTATGCTCCAGTGTGTATGCAGAGAATGGTCTAGAAAAGGTTCTCTGTTGGTAGGACACAGCCAATTCTGTCAGTTGAAATCCTTGATTCCTCCTAAAATGAAGTTGGTTGTTCATTAAAATCCAAGTGACTGCTTTCACGCCCGATGTAGATCTTGCTCAAATAATGAGAACCAAGTAACAGCTCCTTGCAGAAAATGTTCTTCTGCAAGGGGCTGGCAGATAGTTCACTTTGTTTGAAGTCAGGCCCAGCATTCGTTGTGACATACCTAGAGTTATATTAAATGTAAGGAGACCTGACAACTGTAGAAGTTTGAATATTCATCATTAATTTCAGCTGTTTAATTTAGCTTCTGTGTCATGTGCAGAATCTTAAAAGAAATCTTAAAAGAAAAATAATTAGAAGTGAAGTGAAAATGGGGCTTTATTTCTGCAACTGTAAATTTTCTTATACAGTAAGATCCAGAAACTTATGAATTGTTTTAAAAGATGTTATGTCTATCTACTTCATTCATATATATTTAGCACCAGTTTTGACTAAACTAAGGTAATAGTTTTTTTTTAATCTGTCCAAGATCCCCAATAGACTTCCTTTTCTCTTCCCATTCATTCTTACATGCATTTATTCAAAAACTACTGAATGTCTTTTATGCCTTGCACTGGCTTAAGTACACTAAAGCCTTTTCATTACTAGTGCATTGCTGAGTTGTCAGCTTATCACAAGGGATAAAATCTTAATGAAGCCCACCTATCTGAAATTCATTGCCTCTGCCTATGTAGTTGGTCTGACACCAATTTTGGAAGAGATATAAACTAGACAGTAGGTGCGATTTTAAGCAGGTAAAACATTGAGATGGCTAAAGATGATGGTGGTGTCACATGTGGTGCATTAGATCCAAAAGAAAGCAATAGAAGCATTTTGTGATTTTTGGAGAAGATCTAGAATTTGTTACAGTAGCTGTCAGCCCCAAGAAAGACAGCTATTTTGCTCCTGGTGCTTGACTCTTAAAAAGTAGCTTAGTCATAAACAGAAGAAAATGAACTAAAGATTAGATCCTCAGAGCCAATGTTTCAACTATGTTCCTCAAACGTGCCTCAGAGGACAGTTCTACATTGTAAGTGGGAGGAAGGGCTGGAGGGGGAAGTCAATGGAAGACATTTTTTCCACTTTTAATTTTTCTTAAGTCCTCCTCTGCCACAATAGGAAATCAGTCTAAATACTATCTACAATTGATTAATCAAGAAATAGCATGGTAAACATAATATTTTAAAAGTGGATATAAGAAGAAAATGTACAGAAACATAGAAGAAAATGCAAAAAAAAAACCCAAAAACCCGCTAAAATGGATTCCAGTTAAGAGCAAGTCTAAGAGGAGGAAAGGGAGGAAAGGCACTGCTGTTTTCCATAAATATATTACTTTTTTTTAATAGATAAAGTATTTTTTAGAAAGAGGACTTACACATTTGTGTTCTGTATGTGCTTTGCATCCTGGGCAGATATCTTTGCTTTTTTTTTTTTTCTTTTGTTTTTTTTTTTTTTTATCTTTGAGACAGAGTCTCGCTCTGTTGCCAGGCACCAGGCTGGAGTGCAGTGGCGCAATCTCGGCTCACTGCAATCTCCGCCTCCCGGATTCAAGCAGTTCTCCTGCCTCAGCCTCCCGAGTAGCTGAGATTACAGGTGGGCGCCACCACGCCTAGCTAATTTTTATATTTTTTAGTAGAGACGGGGGTTCACCATGTTGGCCAGGATGGTCTCGATCTCTTGACCTTGTGATCCGCCCACCTCAGCCTCCCAAAGTGCTGGGATTACAGGCGTGAGCCACCGCGCCCGGCTGCTCATGTTTTTTAAGGAGACCATTCCTTGGAAGGGAGAAATAGACAGGATATTAGTGAAATTTCACATCAAATGACACAAGGCTGAGGCTTGAGAAGTCAAATTTCTGGCAGGGTGCTTCCTAACTAAATCATTTCTGCCTTTGGCCATTTATCGGCATTCTCTAAAGTATTTCAAGGACAGAAGCTGCCTCCAAAAAAAATAGTAAAAAACATAACTGTGCAAAAATTCCGAAACAGGCTGTACTTAGGAGACAATTTCTCTGATAGTTCCTGTTTATCTTATACCAATTCTAAATAAAAATTGCTTCCTAACTATTCTTTTTGATGTTTTCTTTTTAAAACAGGGAAATGCACATAAAATCATGGAGAAATGTACGTTACCATTGACTGGAAAGCAATGTGTCAACCGGATTATTACTGAAAAGGTAAAAAGCACTTTTTCTCTTACTTTCTCTACTATCTACTACTACCTTTTAAGTAAGCATTTTTAGAAATTTTTGTTACCTTCTGAGAGTGTATTATACCAGTAGTCATAGGATTAATTTAGCCTATGGGCAGAAAGAATAGGAAAACTCATCAATTTAATGTTTCTAAATGTAGAATTCTTTATGTGCAACCCACTGGAAACATACACACAAAATTGAATTATTGTCCTTGATGACTTTGATAGTGTGCTATAATCAGAGAATAGCTTTATTGATCTTTATATTTTGACTATTAAAGTGTCAGGCTGGATGATGATATATGCAAAGTTATGAATATTTCTACGTTTTCTAAATCACAAGTGCAAATTTTTGGATTTCATTTTAACAAATTCAGTGTAAGTTGGGTTTTTAATTGTTTCAGTGCAAATCATCGTATAGGCCCTACAGTAAGCCAAGAAATGTATTCAGTTTCTTGCATGATTTCTGCTTTCTTTTATAGAGTGGGGTTTCAAAACACACGATGCCTCTCTAGATTCTTCTTACTAGATGGAACATGATGGTCAGTAGTACAACTGAAAGCTGCTCAGACCAGAGGAGCATCACCAGCAGCTGCCTGTAGTCACCCTTCTGACTAAGATTTGAACCTAGTATGTGGGAATGACTTAAAGCTTATAAGTTAGCTGGGAGGGTGTGTTTTCTTGATTCAGTACCTTGAAGAAGTCACAAAACAGAATTATGTATATCAGGTTCTTTTAGTGCTGTTCCATTTGCCAAGAACAATAGCATTAGTGTCTCGGCATTAATCTGACTCACTAACCTAATTGAGGTGTGAGCACAAACACCCTAAAGCAGGCTTTGAAGTGGACTAGGAGTCTTATTATTCCCAGAAACCACTTTTAAGGGAGGTTCTGTCCTAAATGATGCCTTCCCAGGACTGCTTATGTGGAATGCCATGAAGGTAACATACAGAGAAGAATACGTAGATAAAAGGGCAGAATATTTTATCCCACCATCTATTCTGAATCTTTACCATTTCTTGAATCCCCTGAAAATTATGAACAGGGCTTGTTGAAAATAATCTATTACTTTGAAGATAAAAGCAAAGAAATATTTGACCCTGTTGTTTGTTTGCTTTTAAATAAAGTGGTAGTCCTTCTAAAGATCATTCCAGAAACGTTCTTTCCATGGGTCCTCTCCTCCTTCCTTCAGCCCTCTCCTTACCTTCACATGTGCCCTACCCTTGTTCTTAGCAGTTCAGTGCTTCTACCTGCCATACCTCCTGATCCTCAGCCTCCCCAAATACTGCCTGTCCTTTAAACCTTTGCAGTTTCCCTCTTCACGATGAAGAGGTTTTGCACCATTTTAGCACACAACAATTTATTTAGCCCACTGTTCATTTTGGCACTCATAATCTAATGTATTTTTATGCTATAACTTACATTGTTATTTAACTTTACTATCATTTTAAAAACTTTTGAACCAGACTGTTCCCAACAGTGGGTTACAGAAAGGAGGAAAGCAAAGCCTGTGTCCTGTAGTGGAAGAAGGGTGAGACACCAAACATCCAGCATTGCCAGCAGTCAGAGCAATTGACTAGATAAAGGCCGTATGGAGACATACCCCAGATGCTAATCTAGGGACATGGAGAAAAGCTGCCCAGTAGTGTGGGCAGAGGTGTCAGGGAAAGCTTTTTGGCGTTATTAAATACAAGCTTTTAACATGTCTTGCAATGCATTTCATGGTACGTACCTTTTCTCCTCTGGCATATTTCTCTCTGCTTTAACTTTTCCCTATTGAGCTATACTGAAATGCTTTGAACTACGTTCCATTCCTCCCCAGACCATCTTCTTTTGAGACTTTGCACATCCTCTTTCTTTCTCTGGAACATTCTTCCCACCCCATCCATCTGGCTAATTTCTGGTCATCCTTTATATCTCAGCTATATATTTCTCTTACAAGTCTTCCCTATCCCTCCCCAAATCTTCTGGGCGCTTCTCTGAATTCTTTTACTATCCGAACTTAGCATAATCCGCTATATTGAAATAAACTCTAATCTCTGCCTGTCTCATTTGCCGCTGTTGATCTAATGTTTGGCATAGTGCCAACCCAAACTCGGAGAATACTGTGCTTTTCTTGCTGAGAAAACTGGATTGAATGGTGAGCCTCGAAAGATCAGTAGGAATTTCGTGGGTTTTTTTTTTTTTTTTTTTTTGACTCTGTCACCCAGGCTGGAGTGCAGTGGCATGATCCAGCTCACTGAAACCTCCATCTCCGAAGTTCAAGTGATTCTTCTGCCTCAGCCTCGTGAGTAGCTGGGACTACAGGCATGCGCTACCATGCCTGGCTAATTTTTTTCGTATTTTTAGTAGAAATGGGGTTTCACCATGTTGGCCAGACTGGTCTCAAACTCCTGACCTCAGGTTATCTGCCTGCCTCAGCCTCCCAAAGTGCTGGGATTACAGGCGTGAGTCACTGCCCCCAACCTAGGAATTTCATAAGTTAAAAGAAAAACAACAAAGAACTTCTGGAAAAAGGGAAGAATTATGCAGAGTCACACAAATGTGAAGAAAATGTGGCTTGTCCTAGAACCTGCGAGTGGAACTGGCTGGAGCAAGGGCATGGCTGGATCCTGAAGGCTGAGGTAGAAATGACAGTGAGGGGTCAAGTCATGGAGGCGTGTAGATATCTTGTTAAGAACAAGGGTCTTATAAGGAAGGCAGTAAGGAACCCTTCAGCGAATTCTTTTTTTTTTAGGTTGGGGACACAATAAATTAGATTTGCATTAGAATAAAACACTGTAAGCTTTTATGAGGAGTCAGGAGAAAGAGATAAGGCAGAAGCCAGTTGAAAGGATCCATAGATTTAGGCAAGAAATCTCAAGATTCTAAGCCATGGGACAGATGGAGAAATTTGAAAGAGATTTAGGAGATGGACTCAACCTAATTTGATTAATTGCACATTGTTGGTAGGACAGAGATGATTCCTAAGCTTTCTGACTAGAGAGGATAGTTTACCTGTGTATCCTTTAGGAAGTCCAGGACTGCAGCCTCCTGCAAAAGGGGGAGGATAATGCAAGACATGAATAGCATCAGTTTGGACAGCCTCAATGTGATATTCCTGGGAATACCCAGTCAGAGATTACAATAAACAATTGGAGATTTGCATCTAGAGCTCACAAGAGAAGTCAGTTGTGAGAGTCATTAATATATGGGGATAACTGGAGCCTTGATAGATGACATTGTATAGCAAGAATGACTAAAGAGAAGGGCATATATGTCTGGAACTTTGGGTACCTCAAGGAAAGGAATGTTGCGTGTTTATTGCTGTGCTCTGTGCATAGTGGGTGCTCAATAAATACTTGTTGAATGAGTAATAAGCATGCAGTGCCATTAAGGGCAAATAATGTGTCCAGCCCTCATTAACAAGGGACTAGAATGCCATTATCAGATCCAGAGAAAATTCCATCCAGTTGCCCTTTGAAAGAGAATTTGGATAATGCTATGACCCTGATTTCCAGTTTTGAGCAGTTAGAATGAGGTAATGAAAGATGCCCTTCCACATCGGCACGTGGGCTGTGATTAACTGTTATCTATAATGCAACATTTTGTCGTGGTGATAAAGTAATTAACATTTATCTCTTAGACAAAGTACTTTCAATAATCTTGATAGTTGAACAATTGATTGTGGCTTTTAGGTTTTAGTACCCATTTTTGTCAAGTTTTTGTTTGCACCTTATATCACTAAACGGAAAGTTTTCTAAATATTTCAAAAGTAAGTTTCCTTTTTTAAATTATAGATACTTGGCTTCCTAATATATCTAATTAAGATTTGATAGATATGTTAACAAGGTTTTATTAAAGCAATAAGTCAATTTGCCATAGATTTATTCTCTGTGATTACTGAAGCCTTAAATTTATGATGCCACAGTTATCTTCTAAACCATTTCCATGCCTGTTCTTAATAACATAATCCAGATGCTCTTTTTTTCTTATTTGTTCTATTTTTATATATTGACGGTTGTTCAGAATGCAAGAAAAAGCAAATCATATGAATAGTGCTCCAGACACATTTTCTGCAAAGAAAGTGTTCATTAAAAAAAAAAAATTAATTGTCATTTTGGAATGAAGCAAGCTAATGAGTATCCAAACATTCCTAAATTATCCTTTTTTTTTTCCTCTTGAAACACACATTTCTGCCAAAAAAAAAAAGTTTTTGGAACATAAAATGTTCAAGCAAAAGGAAAGTTTACTGAAATATTTCATCTTATATTTCAACTATCTTTTCCAGTAACATCAACCAGGGTATCTGAATTCATCAGTCAAACCAAGAATGCAATTATCACTGATCCCAGTGATATTTTGTTTCTGGGGAAAAACATTAATCAACTGGAGTCAATAATCATTTCAGGGCTCTGATCTGGGTTCACATTCAAGTGAGATGTTTCGCAACTAAGGAGTAAAAAGTAAAAGCATGATTGTATGCCACCCCCACTGTCTCAGGGATGGTGCTCAGAATATGTTTTCTTACATTTGTCCTGTATCACAATCTTGGGAAGTACATTTTTATTATACATGTCTACATTTGCAAAGACAGGTTTACCAAAGGCTGCATAACTGTTGTGCAGCAGAGTGGAATTCTCATTCAGCTCAAAAACCAGGGTTCATTTCTCTACATGTTGCTATTTCTTGCTATTACCCTCCTAGTTAGGAGTGTATTCAAAAATGACAGCTCAAGATTTGACTTCTAAGCTAGCTGAAAAATCAGCCAGTCATGGTGGCTCACACCTGTAATTACTGCACTTTGGGAAGCCGAGGCAGGTGGATCAGCTGAGGTCAGGAGTTTGAGACCAGCCTGACCAACATAATGAAACCCTGTCTCTACTAAAAATGCAAAAATTAGCTGGACATGTAATCCCAACTACTTGGGAAGCTGAGGTAGGAGAATCACTTGAACCCGGAAGGCAGAGGTTACAGTGAGCAGAGACTGGGCCATTGTACTCCAGCCTGGGCAACAGAACAAGACTCTGTCTTAAGAAAAAAAGAAAAGAAAAGAAAGATTATAAACCTCCAAATAATGGTTGAATTTAGGTTAACTCTAGAGGAGAGGGAAGCTCTGGGATGCATAACATTTAAGTCTGCGAAAGATGAAACTAACCATGAAAACTGAAAGAGGGAACAGTGCTTAATATGCTGCAGAATAACTGTAGCATGGAGTTAAAGCCATAGGAGAAGCAGTTTTAGCTCTTATGGTTTGAGCTTCCCCTCAATAAACAATCTGCCTTGAAATAAGTGAGCCTCCTGCCACTGCAAGTATCTAAGCAGAGCACCATTGATTACCTGAGAATGTTTCGAAGAATTTTTGAGTAGAAGGTTATGTTAAGTGACCTCTAGGTCACTTCCACTCGAGTTATTATATTTCTAAGTGTGAAAGCATGTGTTCTAAATCAGATACAGCAGGTTGGGTCTATCTGCTGAGGTCAAGCTATGCCAGTTGGCACTACCAACTCCTCGTGTTAATGGACCAGAATGATGGAATGTTTCAGGTGAGATTGGCTTTCTGGTGCTTGTCATAAATACAAGCATCTTCCTAAATTTGCATAGCAAAGGGAGGAGATTCCAGTGCACTCTTTTTGAGACTATGTGTTTTCATAGAACTTAAAGAGAATATTTTAACACTTACCTGCATGTCTTTCAGGGCCAGGATAGCTATCTTCTTATAATTACTCTTAGACACTTCAGAGCACCTTATTCTGTTTCCTGTAATTCTTTACCCAATAGCATTTATAAACTTTTTCCCATCATTCGTGTGCTTTCACCTTCCGAATATTCCCTTTCTCCCTCTTTCTTCATTCCTTTTCTTTGTTCAAATCATTGTTAATCACTAATTGACATTTGGCCAGAAGTGTTAGACTTAACAAAAGGAAAGTAGTTTTTAAAAGCTGGTTGCAATAGTAATAAATGCCATGGTCAACACTCATTTATTTTCTGGCATCAACACTGTTCCACAACTAATTGCTGATTAGGGAGTTGGCATTTATTCTCACCAAAATATCATAGTTACAGTTGACATTTTTTCACTCACTGCTGATTTTTCTTTTTTCCTGGGTCTTGTCTTTCCTTTATAGAACTTGAGAGATTATTTCTGTTTTGTGCCATCTAATAATTATTGTAATGGAATTTGTCATTGTCCTTTTTCTTCCCACTCTGACAGGCTGTGTTTGATGTGGACAAGAAGAAAGGGCTGACTCTGATTGAGCTCTGGGAAGGCCTGACAGTGGATGACATACAGAAGAGTACTGGGTGTGATTTTGCAGTAAGTATTTATGTGAACAAATCGAGCCACTTGTCCTATATTATAGGCTTTATTAATGGGTGTTTACAGGACATGAACCATTAATTTGTGATCATTTTTGGAGTTGACCTTTGCAGTGAACAGGAGCAGAAGGAAGGATGTTTCTAGATGAAAGCAGGTGGGAACAGAGTTGTGCTCTGACTCACGGGCCAAGGTTTGGCTCAGGACTCAGAAGCCAGGAAGGGGAAGAACCACCAGGAGCTGCTAGAAACAAGGTCAAGCTTCAGCTCTAAGCTACTTTACGTGAAAACCCTTGTAATACTCTATTCTTTGGTTATATGTCAGCTGTGGTTGAACTTCATTAGCTGAAAAATGTCAGCCATATATGGAGAAATGATACTTCCTTATTTTTAGACCCATCTATGACTTTCTATAAATTATATGCCATATTTCATCTGTTGAAGATCTTAAAATGTTGGGTCTCTGACATCACCAGGTTAATCATCACAAAACAGATGTGCCCTGTATTTGAAGATGAGTACATAAAACACTCAGACTTACAAAGTAGATAAATACATCAGGAGAGTATCTATTTAAGAAACCTCCAAATCCTTTTTTAAAACAGAAAAATACTGAAATATAAATCATTGCTGTTTAATATAAGTGCTTATTCATAAATCAATCACCTAGCTAATGGCATTGAAAACATGGCTAAGTCTATTTGAAGTTAACCAAAAGTAAAACTAAAATGTCTCTGAAGAAACGAAGGAAAGTGTATTAGTCCATTCTCACACTGCTAATAAAGACAACCCAAGACTGGGTAATTTATAGAGAAAAAGAGGTTTAACGGACTCACAGGTCCATATGGCTGGGGAGGCCTCACAATCACAGTGGAAGGCAAAGGAGGAGCAAAGGCACATCTTACATGGCAGCAGGCAAGAGAGTGTGTGCAAGAGAACTACCCTTTATAAAACCATCAGATCACAGACTTATTCACTATCACGAGAGCAGCAGGGGAAAAAACCTGCCCCCATGATTCAATCATCTCCCACCAGGGCCCTCCCACAACACATGAGGATTATGGGAGCTACAAATCAAGATGAGATTTGTGTGGGGACATAGCCAAACCATATCAGAAAGGGATAGAATTGTCATACCCTTTTAAGAACCAATCTAATTAAAATGAAATATATTTTGATGAGAAGAAAATATGTTAATGTTCAGTTACACATCTTGGAAAATGGAAAAAATATGATCTCTAGCTATCACATGAACCTTCTTTAAAAAGTCTGTAATGACTGTCACAGTTGTGTTCCTGATTTTGTATTAATTAAGAGTTGGTGTTTTCAATTAGAGGGAAGTATCTTTAAGGTGATATATGTCTGGAATTTCAGTAGAGGCTGTGGAAATTTTGTTGTAGAAATGCAAATATTGCTATATTTCTGGAACCTTCGGCACACACCCAAAATAAGATTCTAGTCAGGAGCTGTTTACAACTAGAGAGGCCAATCATATGATTACTCTCCCTCAAAAGGTGGTTGCTATGAAGATAGGGACTTTGCTGTTTCTTAGGGATTGAGTGCCAAATCCCTTCAGAGAAAGGAGTTTGACAGGTAGAGGTAAAAGCATTGCTATTATACAGGCTGGAGTGAGGGATGTGGCCTAGGTGTACAGCTATAGCAGGCTTCCCAGGTATGAGACCCACAAATACTTAGAAGCTTTGGCTCCTAAGTATAGGTAGCACCAAAGAAACCCAGGCCTCCTACAAGAGGGGAGCCTTCATTGCTGAGCTTCCTTCCACATGGCTGGGAGCAAAACAGAGCATTGCTTTCTAGGTGAAAACTTCAATGAAGAAGAGGAGTCAGGCTGAGTTTCACATGTTACAGTCCCTCTGCCGAAACCATCATTTAATTACATCACTAAGGTACACACCGGAGGCCAGGGTAGTTACACAAATAGATAGATGTCCTTTGGTATGGAATGGAATAGAGAAATGGGGAATAAATGCCCCCCTGTCCCCAGCACTATTGGTAGAGCCATGTACATATGTTCATGCTCTACAAATGCTTGATTGTGATGCTGTTCAGTAATGCTTTCCTATCTTTAAATAAATGTGATAAAAGCCTTAAAAAACTACTATGTTAACCATGTTTAAGTGTACAATTGACTAATATTAAGTGTATTCACATTGTGGTACAACAGATCTCTAGGACTTTTTTAACCTGCAGCTCTGAAACTCTACTCATTAAAGACTAATTCCACTAATTCCAGACTTTGGCAACCACTATTTTTCTAGGTACCTCATATGAGTGGAATCATACAGTATTTTGCCCTTTTGTAACTGGCTTATTTTGCTTAGCATAATGTACTCACGATTCATCTGTATTGTAGCATGTATGACAGAATTTTCTTCTTTTTAAGGCTATATGATATTTCATTGTGCATGTATACCACACTTTCTTTACCCACTCATCTCTTGGTAGACATTTGGGTTGCTTCCACCTCTTGGCTATTATGAATAGTGCTGCAAAGAACATGGATGTGCAACTATCTCTTTGAGATTCTGCTTTGAAATTTTTTAGATATATACCCCAAGATTGGAATTGCTGGATCATATGATAATTCTTTTTAATTTTTTGTGGAACTGCCATACTGTTTTTCACAATGGTTGCCCTGTTTTACATGAGGTGAGATGATATCTCATTGTGGTTTTGATTTGCATTTCTCTGGTGACATTGTCAAAGTTACTCATATATTCTGGATGCTAATTTCTTATCAGATATGACTTGTGAATATTGTCTTCCATTCCATAGGTTGCCTTTTCACCGTTTTCTTTGGTGCATGGAAGTTTTTAAGTTCAATATAGTCTTCTGTCTGTCTTTTATGGTACTAGGGCCCAACATTTTCAAAACTTAAGGAGTCCTTTGGCTAATTTTTCTCCCCTTGTCATCAGATTTTGACAGAAGTCTGTCTCCCAAATATTTAAAGAGCCAAAATGATGTCATATTAAAACTGTGACAAACTAATGAATATCTCAAATTTATTTTTGTCTATACTTACAGCATTCTGTATGGCAATTACTTGATGGGCCAAAGTATTGGGTTGATGGAAAAGTAATTGCAGTTTTTGCTATTAAAAGTATTGGCCTTCAATTGGTTGTTTAGATTGTTTATTTTCTGATGAATGCTTAAGCTGTGTAAAATAGGTGTTTTTGAAAACCATATGTTTAACTTAAAAAATTAAAAATGTAGTCCGTATTTAAACATTATGTGGTAGAATAAACTTCCAGGCCTCACAAGTCATACACCCAATGTATGTTCCACATTGAGCTGTAAAATGTGAGTAAAATAGAACTAATTTATAGTTCTTACTGCCAAGAGCCTTGGCCTTATTCTGCAGTCAGGAATACACCTAAACAAAAAAACCCTAAAAACTAGTAAAAGCATTGCTTATTGATATGTTTGCAGTGGAATCTGAAAGAAGCCAGCTGCAGATATTCCTTGCCAAGTTAAATAAATTTATACTGTCAGTATCTTCTATGAACTGGCATTCTACCAGAGTTAAACAATACACTTTTGGGATATTAATGCACTGGGAAGACAAGTCATTGGCTTACCTTCTATACGTAAATCATGTTATCCTGTGCGTAGCATGTAGATCACATGGCAGGATAAGTTCCTTTGGCTTGCATGAATTTACAGTGTTGATGAGACCGGGGAAACAGAATGAGAAATGGTAGTTTAGTATGTTTTTCATTACAAAGCAGGCAAAGTCAGTCTATATAAAGCTTTATCTTATTTTTTTTATGTCATTTTTCACATTGAGAATGTAAATGACATTAAGAGCTCAAAATAGGGCTGACATGACAAGAAAAAGGATCAGATGTTTAATTTAAAAAATTAAGGTGTCCAGCTTTTTTTTAAAGGAAGTCATATGGAACAACTAAGGGAAATGATATGTAGTAAAAAAACTTTCACTAAATTATTTCTGCAGATGCTCTGTTGTTTTAAAAAAATGAACTGTGAGACATAATTATCTAAATACTAAATGTTATTCTTAGTAGAGTTGAAGATCTGTGCATATATATGATATTACTTTTGTCTACTTATTCTGTTTATTTTGTCTATATGTCTGCTCTTAGAAATAAGTCATAATGAACTCTCATTTATCCTAAGCTATGTACCAAACCATGCTGAACTTCTTTATTCCTGTTTATTCTTATTTATTCTTTTAGTAGACATATTTGTCATTCTGATTTAATATTTTAGTAGAAAAATGGAAGATAGGACATTAACTCTTGATACTATAAAGAATTAATTGTGAAGATCTAATGCAGAAATTATTTATAAATGAACTAAAAATATTTAACCTCATCAAAGCCAAATAATTGCCTGTTCTTCCAGTTTTTAATACTGATTTAACCTCTATTAGGAACTTCCCTTCTAGTTCTTTGAAGCATATATAATTATCTATTTATTCATTCATTTGTTCATTTATCAATTTAAGAAAATATTGTTTATTATGGAAGGTAAAATGCTAATTGGGTTCATTTCACTTGCCACATCCTTAAGAATTTAAAAAAAAAAAAAAGACCCAAATTTTGGTATTTCCTGCTGTGCTTTCCATGGGGACTGTTACTAACTAGAACCCAATCAATATTTGCCATGTTGAATTAAGGAATCTGAACCTGGTACCACACTGAAAAATCTGTCACAGTTAAAGTTGACCACTTATATTTATGTTTCTCCTGCAACCAGCTCTACCTTAAATATAGACTCATTGTCACTTTTCTCCGCTTGCAGATGTGCAGAAAAGCATTTGTTGTTTTATACACTGAACATAATTATTATCAACATTTAATTGTTTTAATGCTATTACTTTCATATTTTAATAACTTGGAATCCTCTTATTGCCTTTGTATCATTTTTCTTCTGATTATGAAATTTCTGATAAGATTTGTCATAGACCATACATTTCTTCATTAATATGTATCTAGGTAATCCAAAAATTACATACAGCATCTTTCAACAAAATTGTGAATTGATTGAATCTATTTGGAGGTTTTGGAGATTTGGGGTTTGTGCTGTGTCTTAAGTGAAGTCTCAGAGGCATCAGTCCCAGAGATCAGTGATCCATCTGACAGGGGCTTGGTTATTGGGATACTTTGTTTCCCTCTGCTCCTCTTCCACCAGCTCCTTCATCCTTAACTTAGGAGCTAATACAAGAAGGTTGAGAACTACAAAATATCCAAAATGTAAACAGAACAGTTCTGTCTCAGTGTTTCAGAGTGGACAATCATATGGAAACTCCAGGGAATGTCCATGGAAAGGCTGCTTGTTGCCTACATGATTGAAATTTGGAAATTCAAAGGAGAGAGATTTATATCATCCCATTTTTCATAATTTTATTTTTTTTCCTCTTTTACCAGGTTTCAGCAAAACTCATGCCAATGCAGCAGATCGCAAATTGAAATGTGGATATTTGTACCAGGCTGCGTGTTTTTCATTTTAAAAACATAGGATTTAATTGAAAGGACATCAATAACTATAATTGTGTATTTAACAAGTGGTTTTTGATTAGTTTTATTCTAGTGTTTCAGACTTTATGCAGCCATGTAAAATGTTCTCTAGGCATGCTGTGACATTTGAATAAAAAGAAAAAGGAGCATTAATAATTAATCATTTGTTAAGTGCTGAGAAGGTTGTTTTTATAATTGGTAATTATATTGAATGCGTTTTCACTGAATATAGTATGTATGCTAAAAATATGACCCTTTCCCCAAGACGGGCCCTAGAAATTGATGTGCTTTTCCTCTTAACTATTATCAGCCCTGAAAGAAAGATAACGTGTGATTTTAATCGCAAAATCACATATATGTTATCTTTCTTTCCTGACTGTTTTTTCTTCAACCTCCTCTGACTTTTCTTTTGGGGCTTCTGATTTTGTGATTAGATCTTGTCTCCCTTAGAGCATCCTCCTTCCTCCCGTATTGCTTTGTAGCTAAAAAGATGCCCCAGAAGGCACACAGGAATATCATCTTGTGGCGGAGGGCAGGGAAAAGTAACCATTTCAAATGAATCATCTATCTGTGCTTTGCAAAGACTAAGGTTTGTTATAGGAAGAGGGCTAGAAACCTAACTGATCTTCTCAGTTTTCTCATTTTAAGATAGTCCAATATTCCTTTGTATCCTCAAGGATCCTTGAGAATATTTCTGTTACTGAGGCCCAGTGGGCTACTTGTACTGTACTGCCTCACAAGCCAAGAAGGGCTGTGTGGGATAATTTACCATGAATCGTTAGTAGCAATGAGAGCAGAGTTAAAAAATAAAAGGTACTTTAATTTCAGGCTCTCGTTTTGGTTCAGAGAAGATTTTAATGGTTTTTCTTCTGCCAAGACTTCTTTCTTTAACAAAGTGCCTTTAATTCAGACTTATCCAACTAGGGAAAACAGTGATGGACAAGTCTCGGACTTAGAGTCAGTGAACTTTTAGTGTCAGGGAATAAACGTGGTGGGTAGATTAGGTTTGAAAGAATCTTCCTTAGAAGTATCCTCAATACCAGACAGGAGCGCATGGGAATCACTTCAGAAGCATCCCGGATAACAAACAACAGATGGGTAAAAATTCGAGACACCCTGAAGAACAAGTGAGACAGCTGGCCTCTGGAGAGAGGTAGGCATAGTGCAGTGCAATATATCATTCCTCTGTCCTAAATATAGGAACTTATTCATGTTTCTAGGTGATGGTGGTTATTGAAACTCATTTCTCTTCAGATGTAGCTACAATTGTGTAATATACAATATTAGAGAAAGGATAGGCATTTTATGAGTAACACACTCCATATAAAATAGCCTTTCTCGCTGGCCACATGGTTAAATGCATACCTTTCCAGTACTGGGGAGAATAAATGACCCTTCTTAGAATGTGCGGTGTCTATGAGAGTAATACATTGATATGATTAGAATTGTTGATATTGTATCTTCAAACTTGCTTGTCATTCCAGTATGCGTCTTTAAGATAATGTGATTCTAAGTAGATGACTATATACTTGATTAAAGCATGCTATACATGTGAAGAAATGCATTAAGAAATACAATAAATATTCCAAAATGATATTGATCAGTGTGACTGTCCTTTATTTCACTTGGGGATGGCATTGTTAAATGTGGGAATAATGCAGCAGATTGTCCGGATAGCCAGCAATAAAGTCAGCACACATCGCCACTTCAGCTTGTTGCTTTTTTTTTATCTTACTAGAGAAAAGATATTGTTCTTCTAGAAAGATGAAATGAATGTTGAGCTTCACAACTTGCTCCTTGTCAGAGCCTGTTATGTTTATAAATGCTGTATATCCACGGCTTCATGTGTGAATACTTGTTCACTTTTATGTAGCATTTTCCTTTACTGTACACATTAGTTGCCTAGTGCTGAGCTGATTTCCATTTTGAAGTGGCTCTAGTGCTAGTCTGCTCAGCATCTGTGTTGCTGCTCCTCTGGTAAGAGAGGTGTGGGCGTGTCCCCAGGATTTGCTACTTCTGGTAGCTCTCCTCTGTGGACAGTGGTTATACCCAAGGTTGTGCATATGACCCAGGATGTACCAGTCTATTTCTCCAACATTTAAAAGCAGATGAGAAGTCTACTTTCTTACTCCTCTAGGACTATGAGCCATAAGAATATGAATCTGTCACCAATACCCCATCTCTCCACTAAGACACATGTACACACCTAGCTGAGCTCCAGCTGGAGAGAAATAAACTGGTACACAAAAACATGGAGCTGTATAGGAAGTGTGTTGGTGGGGGCATTCTAGTGGTATTTGGATCAATGGTTCTGGATGTGCCTATGGCCAACTTCCCTCCAGCCATGCCGGGACAGAGTTCATAAATCTCCCTTTTTGCTTGAGCAGAGTTTTTGTCACCTGTAACAACAGTGAAATCATACAGATTTTGTAATTCTTTTTTGCAACAGTGTCTCTGTCACACAGGCGGGAGTGCAGTGGCACAATCATGGCTCACTGCAGCCTCAGCCTCCTGGGCTCAAGCGATTCTTCCACTTTAGCTTCCTAAGTATCTGGGACTACAGGTCTGCACTACCACACCCGACTAATTTATTTTTTGTAGAAACGGAGTGTCACTGCTGCCCAGGCTTGTCTGCAACTCCTGGCCTCAAGTGTTCCTCCTGCCTGCGTCTCCTATAGAACTGGGATTACAGGCATGCAGGCCATATTCTTGAGTTCTGAGAGGGACCTGGTCGCCTACAGAAGTTATGCAGAATATGAGAAAACTGCTTGCACCTGAGCCCAGAGAACACAAGAGCATTTCTGAGTGTTGCCAGTGAGTAGGGAGGTTAAGGGTAGAGGTTCATTCTCTTCCAATCTCAGTATATTCAGCACAAGTTTGGGATGTTATTCTAATGGAAGTATAAGCAAAGATTTAATCAATAGGTGGGTTTCTTTGGCATGAACTTTCTCCCTTTTCTCAGAGTGTGGTCTTGAGTTTCTTTTAGTAGTAGTAGTAGTAGTAGTAGTAGTAGTAGTAGTAGTAGTAGTATACCTTAAGTTCTGGCGGTACATGTGCAGGTTTATTACATAGGTATACACGTGCCATGGTGGTTTGCTGCATCCATCACCCCATCATCTACAATAGGTATTTCTCCTAAGGCTATATCCCTCCTCAGCCCCTCACCCCCTGCTATCCCTCCCCTAACCTCCCAATCCCCAACAGGCCCTGGTGTGTGATGCTTCCCTCCCTGTGTCCATATGTTCTCATAGTTCAACACCCACTTATGAGTGAGAACATGCGGTGTTTGGTTTTCTGTTCTTGTGTTAGTTTGCTGAGAATGATGTTTCCAGCTTTATCCACATCCTTGCAAAGGACATGAACTCATCCCTTTTTATGGCTGCATAGTATTCAATGATGTATATGTGCCGCAGTTTCTTTATTCAGTCTATCATTCATGGGCATTTGGGTTGGTTCCAAGACCTTCCCATTGTGAACAGTGCTGCAATAAACATACATCTGCATGTGTCTTTATGATAGAATGATTTATAACCCTTTGTGTATATACCCAGTAATGGGATTGCTTGGTCAAATGGTATTTCTATTTCTAGATCTTTGAGGAATTCCCACACTGTCTTCCACAATGGTTAAACTAATTTACACTCCCACCAACAGTGTAAAAGCATTCCTATTTCTCCTTGCCCTCTCTAGCATCCTGATTTTTTAATGATTGCCATTCTAACTAGCATGAGGTGGTATCTCAATGTGGTTTTGATTTGCATTTCTCTAATGACCAGTGATGATGAGCTCTTTTTCATGTTTGTTGGCTGCATAAATGTCTTCTTTTGAGAAACGTCTTGAGTTTCTTAAACTTATTTTTAGATTCTCCATCTTTAAAATGGGGGAGAATACAGTGTTTTCCACTGTGGTTCTCTAAGATGTAATCAAAATACCTGACTGTAAAACTGACATGTTTTAAAAATGCTGTGTCTCATTGGAGACAGAGTTGTTCATTGTTCTGTCCTTTTATTTAATGTCTACACTGCCTTCCCACTGGAGACAATACTGAATATCAAAGTGGATTTAAGTATAAATACCAATAAGTGTATGTGATCAGAGTGCATCTATGTGACATATTTGAAGATCCTGCCTCCATATAGTTCGACACATCTGTATAAAGTCATCCAAACACCTTTTGTGGATTATACAGCAGCTTCCATGAGCATGATGCCTACACCACTCCAGATAACTAACTGGTAACTCCTTTGTCTATGGGAACCAAATGTGTTTGATTGTGGTCATTATCACCCCCTCATGGGGGGCCACTCTGGATGGCCCTTTTGGAAAGGGCCTCAGGCAACTCTCCCCTGGCTCTTGTTGCATGGCCCACGGTGTGTATGTTGGAAACACTCCTATTTCTGCTGACAAACTACCGGATCCCAGATGTCCAACACAGACATTTTGTTTGTTTGTTTGTTTTTGTCTCACTCATTAGCAGCAGGTATTCTATCTCTTGCCCTTTAAAGTTTTTAAGAGGAAATCAGACAGTTCCAGAAGCTGACATATACAATCTTGGTGTTCTCTTGGAAGACCCTCTGTCTTGATATGGGGTTAGAAGGTAGCTTCTCCCATTTTGCATTCTTGGGGTTGGAGTACTCAACTCTCCAAATCATCTCTGAAATTGCTCTGTTAATATTTATGGAATAAATTTGCTGGTTGAAAACATGGGTCATAGTACACCAGACTTAGAGGAGTTCCCTCAGCTAAGTAACTAGGTAAGACCTCTTAGGAAGAGGTAAGAAAAGAAAGAGAAATAAACAAGAGGTGGAATCCGGAGGGCATGACAGAGGAATAAAGAGACCTGCAATGATCACATGTTTGACACTTCATAATTTATAAAGCACCCAAAATATGCTAGCTAGTTTATTTGATTCTCATAATAACCTGCCAGGGAGACATTATTACCTCGATTAAAATTAACTTGATTAGTTGGAAAGAATAATGTCTGTCAGTTCTTTAATCAAATTAGCTTTTCAGGGCTAATGTTGGATTTTGCCAAGGTAGTTAATGAGATGTGAATTAAATCCCCGAATAGAACTAGATTTGTGGCTCTTTGGTAAGCTATAAAACAGAGTCCAAATTCTCTAATCCTAATGGAACAAATATTCAAATTTTGTTCCCTCTGACCTCACAGCTCTTATACGCAACCCAGTTTATAAGGAAATGGGTCGTTGTCAAGTAAAAAGGATGGTGACACCCACCAGGCAAAATGTCCCTGTGGAAGACTTGTAATTACTGGATTTGCTCACATGAAATGTTCTGGGTAGATAAGCATGCTTACCTGACATCAGCCAGAGAGACTGACAGGCTTTGCTTTATCTTTGTGGCTGAATTACTTTCTGAAATTGTTTCCTTGCAATTAACCTTTAACTATGTTCAAAGTCAGAGGTGTACTTCAGACTAATTCAGTTGAGCCCCAGAGTTAAAGCTAAGATTGTTACCAAACTGAACTTGGGTTACCTGCTTGGCACAGCAAAGCCAAAAACTGATATGAGTATATGCAGCAGGAAAAAATGAGGCATTTATTGCTATGCAGCAATTAAGGAGAATTAGGCAGCTCATGCTTAATGCTTCTCAGTGGCTTACATGTCAAGGTTTTTAAAGACCAGACAACAGAGGTTACATGTGAAGCCATAAGTCAATACATGGAGGCTGCACATTGGTGTAGCTTAAAAAGGACAGGACATCTTGAAACAGGGCTCACAGGTCGTAGATGACTTCAAAGATTTTCTGATTTGCAATTGCTTAAGCTTTGCTTAAAAACTTGGGACCAGTAGAAAAAAAATCTTAAGCTCTGGCCTGTGGATATGACTTCCTCCAGGCCCCTCAGGAAGAAATTTAGAATGAAGAACATTGGTCGGAGTTCAGTCCTCAGTTCCCCGTTATCTGTGGTCTGTGTGCCAGCAAAGAGCATTTTCCATTTGTTGGGGATCTGGGTTTCTGAAAAACAACTCAGAGACGTAAGATAAGATGTCCTCTTGCGTGGTTATAGGGAACCAAATATTTTGTTGCTCTCACTTCTTTGGCGGTCACTTACTTCACATGTAACCACAGTGAAATCATAACTTTTATAATTCTTTTTCACAATGGTGTCTCAGTCTGTCATCCAGGCTGGAGGGCAGTGGCACAATCATGGCTCATTGCTTAACAGGTTGCTCATAAGGCTAGCTAGCCATTTCTCAAGGATAGCTAGGTGCCTGAAGTTTTCCTTGAAGGGACTCCAGGTTTTCTTTTATTTCCATGCTTGGGGGTCCATCAGGCCTCAAAGAGGGGTCCCTGCTCCATCTCAATATTGGCATCCTGAAAATAAATTTTACTGGTGACATAGAGGAATGCTCAGTGAGATCTAGTAGTTTTCTCCAACAGGAAAGACAGGATCCATGGAAAAGAAGAAAACTGGTCATGGCACTGGAGCCTGTGGAGTGGGTCGCGGTTGGGGTTGGGGTGAGGAGGCATTAAGGCTCAGCAAGACACACCCGTTATATGAAACATTTAAAACATTTAAGTGTTACTGTATTTTATTTGAATGTTAAGACAGCATCAATTTTAAAATGCACT